TATGCTCTCTCTTCTTATACTAGCTATTGCTTGTCTCCCTCAGTTTATCAGTAGTGCTAATCTTGCTCTTACATTTGATGCTGCTAACAATACCTGTACTGCAGCCTGTACTACCTGCAGTGATACCAGTAATACTGATACCAATCAATGCAACACTGATGATGGGCTATTGAATGAACTACTCAATGCTACCAGGAACAATGGTCAAGATATTCAAGAAATAAAACAGAAAATGGATGGTATCATTTCTTCTCTCTCTCATATCAAGGAGACTGCTACCTCTAATGCTGGAGCTATCAATGATATACTGCTACTAGTGGAAGACCTTATCATGTTACACAATGACTCATCTTCCTTCTCTCCTATCCCTACTTCTTGTCAAGAGATTAAGAACAAACAACCAAACAGTCCTTCTGGTATATATCTACTGGCAACTAATGATGGAAGTAAATATGTTTACTGTAATATGGAGGAGCTGTGTGGTTCAGGAGGAGGATGGACAAGACTAGCATATCTGGATATGACTGATGCTACAGAGAACTGTCCTTCTGGGTTTAAACTGTACCAGTCAGGAGGAGTTAGAGCTTGTGGTAGAGCATATAATGCTGATGCTAGTTGTACATCAGTTGAGTTCCCATCTAATGGTATCAGTTACTCTCAAGTGTGTGGTAGAGTAGTGGGATATCAATATGCTTCACCTGATGCAGTTCAACATGGTCTATGGCAAAATCCACAAAATTATGTTGGAGGAACTGATCCTAAACATAATGACATCAATAAAGCTTATGTTGATGGTGTTAGTATCACTCGTGGGTCTCCTCGTAAACATGTCTGGACACTAATGGGAGGACTCCTAGGATCTGGAAATTTTTCAGATGGACGATATAACTGTCCATGTTCATCTGGAAGCTTACAAAGCTCTCATGTTCAAGATTTCGTCAAAAACAATTATTTTTGTGAATCAGGAGCTGAAACTTCCTTCAGTCGGACTCTCTATACAGCCGATCCATTATGGGATGGTCAAGGTTGTGGTACTAATGAAACAGCTTGCTGTTCAGCTCCTGGTCTCCCTTGGTTCCATAGGAACTATACGGCTACCACTACTGACTATATTGAGTTGAGGGTCTGTGGTGATCAGGAGACAGATGATGAAGATACTCCTGTTAGCTTTTATGAGATTTACGTCAAATGAGTAACTTTGATCTTTTTAGTGTGGTAGGACTTATTAATTACATGTACATGTAGATATAGCTATAGCCTAGGCTAATTAACACTGTTAAATAATTTAAATGAGGACTTTCTTTATTAGTTTATTTGTGCTTAAAAAATTTAAACTTTGAATTTTGGCATGCTATGACCGTCTTACCTTTAATTCATTCAAGCAGTCCACTAGTTTAATAGCAATACTAGCAGCATTAGAATAACCAGAGGAGAGGAGCAAACACTCAGTGATTGGTACCAGATCCAGAGATTCACTCTGTACACAGCGAAATGAAGCCTAATATGAAAGATAACACACAGTCATTATTAGCCACATACATGTACATCAATAAAGTTTGTATAAATGCAAATGGCTATACATTAATTTATGAAAACACTGCGTGTACAATACATGTACATGTACATTGTACGTGTACTATAATAATTACATTACAAATTGGAGTAATAATTTGGCACTATCAATGTCTGATGAATAAAGCTTCGGTAACTAAATTTTATCAACCATGCAGACAACCATAAAATCAGGTCATTTCATCAAATTAGATGATGTACAATATGGTATATGCACATGTACATATACATGTACATGTACATGTATAATTGTACGTGTACATGTACATGTATCTGAATGTATTGATACTTACTATTACTTCTTCAGTGATTGACGGGTAATTTTTCATTTCTTCCTCTTCCTCATCTTCTCTCTCATTATCACTGCCTTCATCAGTGACTGCTATACAACTGAAGTACCCGTTAGCAACCAGTGTAGTCCTCTCTTCTCCTGTTAGCTCTATCTCAGCTTTTGGTCCTAACAGATTGGCTCCATGTTGAACAGAACTGTACCAATCCATACGATTACCAGCACCAACATGACTAGTTGAAGAACTACAGAAAAGTACAATAAATAATTCAGGACTGTATGTACATGTACATGTATATTCTAATCATCACAATCATAATACATTGTAATTAGATTTACACATGTACATGTACATGTACAATGTAGGTAACACGGATATGTACATGTAGCGGTAGTAGTGGTGGGTTAAATCAATCAATGATCATGTACTATAGTACATGATTATTGGCCAAATTTCGCCTAAAATGACTAGGAGAAAATTCTTCATTTTTATAACTTTTTCTGACATATATTATACATGTTCTTATGCTGTGTAGTAAGTTTGAACTGATTCTGATCAAAATTCAATTTTTTATGAATTTTTAAAGTTACTTAAAAATCGGGCAAAAGTACCTGAGTGCCAATATCAGAATCAGTATGATTAACAATACACAACATGGTACACATACATGTACATGTACCTTTTATAATCATGATGAGATCCTAATGATGCTGTACTGCTAACAGAATAAGGACCTCCACCTCCAGTAACCTGTATCTTATTAGTGGGAGGAGGCAATACAGGATCAGGCCCACCCAATAGTCCATTCTTCATCTTCTCATAGACCTCCTTCAGCCATTGTGACACTACTAACTGTGCTGGTACAGGGAGAGCAGTGAATGACTGGAGAATGAGTATACTCCCTGACTGGAGGGAGGAGGAGAGGGATGAGAGGAGGACTGACGTTGAGGTTGTGCTTAAGCAAGTCAGAGTATAATATGGACGACCTAGGATCTATTGAAAGAGAGAGGATGACATTTTAATTATTTTGTGCATATAATGATAAGAGTAGGAAAATTTTAAAAATCTACATGTACATGTACATGTATGCACATTGTAATTACATGTACATGTACATGTACAGTATAAAATATATTTTAAAATCTACATGCATATGGTACAGTATATGGACCACAAAAATGACACTAATCTATTGAAAGAGATAAATTGATAACATACTAATTGCATGTACATGTACAGTACATGATAAAAAAATTAAATCTAAATGTATGCATATATATTAAAAAGAAATGTACATACACATGTACATGTATGGACAAGAAAAATAACACCAAAAAGTCATAATACATAATGACTGTATAAAAAAGAAAATAGCCTACTTTTGCAACGTCTCTAGCAGACTCAAGATTAGATCCATAGCTCTTTCCCCTATGCCCCTCACTAACTAATAGACCACTACACCCATCAACAGCCACCAATGACCTCATCATGCTCACAACACTCTTCTCTAGTGAAGGAGACAGTACAATACTAGTATCTGACCCATAATACTCAAAACCATAACTAAAAGAGACCTCAGGCCCACACTGTACCCGGCAACCAGTCCCAATACTAGGGACAGTTGGCATTAGGCTCTTAGCTGAGGATAGGCCGGAGGGTTTAGTGTGGGACTGAGTCCCAGCACTGAAACGAGAGCTGACTAGACTCTTATTTGAAGCAACGAGAGGCTCGGGAAGTGGGTGGAGTCTACCAACAGCCGCTAACGGTGGCATAGAATTACGAGAGTTGGTCATACTAGAAGGAACGGAAGAGAGACGACTTGGAGAAGGATGATAGAGAACTGGTGATTCTAATAACTGATACAGGACGTGATGAGAGAGGGACAACCCTCTCGTTATGTTTTTAATTAGATCCAGTTTGTGTTTAGCACTGACAATGAGACTCTTTAGTGTTGTAATGGTTTGTGGGTGGGAGTGAGGGTAGGAGGAGGTGAGGTGCAATAATTGAATAAGATGATTGATGATCCGCTCAAACTGAGACCTAGAAAAAAACATACATGTGTATATCTATCAATTCTTTTACCATACAAGATGATTTATTGGTGGGAGTAATATTTGGCAGATTTGCCTGTGGAAAGAAATTGGCAGATTTTATAATGGCGATTTCTTCATAGTCCCACCAATCACCAATATTAATTCGTCATCAATAAATCATCTTGTATGGTATTACTAAATGCATGTATATACACTTGTCCATGTACTGAACAATGGTGTACATGTACATGTACATGTAGTTTAAAGCCTATAATTATTAATAATTATATATAAATAAATTGGTAGGCCCATTCATAATATGATGTCTTTAATGGTACCTAGCTGAATCGATCATTAGTGCATTATCAAATGCTGAGGTGATGATTGGAGTCCATTTAGACTGTACAGTGAGTAGAGCTGCTTGAGGGACTGACTCTGACAACCATGAGACATCAGAAGTATCAATACCTACATGTACATATGTACATTAAAAATTATATGTACATACAATGTTTGTACATGTACATGTACATACAATGTTTGTACACACAAATTTAGGTATACATGCATGTACAGTGTACATGTATAATAAATATGTGGCATATACACGCATAGTACATTTAAACTTCTACATGTACATGTAAATGCAATAGACTTGAAGACAATACATGTACATGTACATGTATGATTGATAATATAAAATTCTTCTATTAATTACTGACTAAGCTTTCTATTACAAAATACACACAGTGCAAGAACTGAAGCAGGCTAATGATAACTTACTCTGATCCTCATCACCAGTGGCAGCATGCAGACCCATCAACTGCTTAGGAAAACTCAAA